CAGCTTAAATGTGGCTTCCTCAGAGAAGGCTGATTTGGCCTTTTATTCTAAGGCCCCATCAGAGTATTCTGGTCTTTTGCTTTATAGACTTTAATGCACTTCGCAACTATATGCTGGGTTTGAGATTCTTTTATGCTTCTCTTCCCACTAGGGCTGCAGCCCATGAGACCGAGGCAATGTGTTTCGTTTACCTGGTATGTCCAGGACCCCGTATTCTAGCAATACCTGGCGAACGTTTCAAGCCTTGCCTCAAGCGCCACCCCATTGAGGCGCAGTCCCCAACTCCAGAGGCAGCACTTCCAGCTCCTTCCCGAACTCACCTAGAGCCGACTTGGGCACTTTTCCCTTGGCCGAGTTTCGCAGTATCTGGGCACGCGTCGCCTTCGCCTTCTGAGTCCGCTTCACCGGAGCCCCGCTCGGCTTGGCCTGGCCTGGCGCGGCCCGGGGGGCTGTTGGAGAAGAGAGAGGACTGGACCCGAGTCCGAGGGCGCGCTTTCCATCCCGCTGAGGCTAAAACCTACCTGGATCGCTCCCCACCCTGGGGGTCCCGCCCGCAGCCACCGCCACCCTCCTGCCTGCGCCGGACTTCCCCTAGCAGCCCTCCTCACCCTCGGACTCCGCCAGCAGCTCCAGGCCCCGCCGCAGCAGGGCCGCGGACATAGCTGCGTCGCGCCCCCTCACGAGCCTCGCACTACTTCCGCTTGAGCCACTGTCCTCGTCTCGGCGGAAACCTGAGCAGGAGCCGAGGGTTCCGGAGAGAGCGGGCGGAAGTGCCCACCTTCCTTAGGACGCATGCGTCTACTATGGAGCAGGAAGAGGGGCGGAGACTAGAGGCGGGTCCAAGGCGCTGAAGGACACTCTAGTTGTCCAATCCCAACGCAACCAGTGCCTTGCGAGTCAGGCCACGCCTTCTCCCGGAAGCCGTCCACAGCCAGCTCAGCGTGGTTGGTCCATCCTCTCGGGTCTCGCCTCTCCGCAGTGTTGGAGGCCGGAACCGGGCGGAGTGTTGGTTGTCTCAATTCCTACGAAAGGGGAAGATGTGAGGCTGGGTCTTTTAAATATGCTCCGGCCAGAGCAACGTGTCTCACAGATCGAGTGCGGCATGAGAATCCAGCTGTCTTCCATCCAGCCAGACATACAAGACATTGCCAAAAATGCAAAACAATGTATTTTTGAAGAACACAATTATTTTTATTAAAGTATATTATTTATGATACCAAGCAACGAGTTTGTTATTGCTATTTTTTTTAATTTCGGCATATTATGGGGGTACAGATTTTAAGGTTTCTATTATTGCTATTTTAAGTAAATTAATGAACATTTAAAATTGTTTCTCAGGTTTAGTCACTAACATGGGTGGGAACCGTTCCCGCCGTTTTACAGGTGAGGACACAGGGGCACCGGGAGGGTAAGGAGCCTGCCAGTCACACGGGTGGTGCCTGGCCCCCGCATTCGGGACAGCCGTGCTGTGGCGCCCGGCGGGCCCGTGCAGTCGGGGCGGGGCGAGGGCGCTGAGCGGCGCGGGAGGCGGGAGTGTGCAGGCCGGAGTGGCCCGGAGGAGAGGTGAGGGGCCGCGCTGGGTGGGATGGTCTGGAGGGTTGCGACCCGTGAGTCTGCGCTGGGGGCAGTGGGGGCCCTGGAGCCCGCGGGGTGGCCAGACGCGCGCCTCTTCCCTGCTTCAGAAAGAGCCGGCTGTTTCCTTATTTGTGACGTTTGCTGTCGATATCCCCACCCACACCCCACGGTAAGCTCCTCAAGGGCAGGGGGCTCTGTTCCGTTCACTGTCATACCCCTGGCGCCTGGACAGTCGCGGCACACAGTAAGCGCTCCGTGAACGCATGCTCCGAATGGCTGAGGCTGAGCGCGGGCCGCCGGCCGGCCGCAGGCGGAGAGGCTCACGAGGTGCTGGCGAGCGCGGCTGCCCTCGGAGGGCAGAGGGCGGAGCTCTGTCGTTCTCCCGCTCTGGGCTGGGCGCCCCGGCCCCCGGCGTGGGGATCCCTCTGGCGCGGGTGGATCCCCGCAGCCTCCCCTGCCGAGCCCGGCTCTCCACCACGGAGTCTGCCGACGCGGTGGCCACTAGGTGGCGCCGCAGGACAGCTTTCTCGTGAGCTGCAGCTCCGCGGCCGGTCTGCCGCCGCTCCGCGTGGGTTCGGGTTGGGAGCGTGGGGTCCGGACGCCCCGCGGTTTCGGCTGGCTCCTGGCATCCAGCACCGCGTGGCCCCGGCTTTCTGCTGTCTCTGTCTCTTGGCCTTCCATGCCCACAGCCAGACAGCCCTCCCTGGCCTGGCCTGGCCTGGCCTGGGCAGAGTGGGTGGGGAAACTGAGGAAGAGCCATGAGATGGGCTGCCCAGGAGGAGGGGAGGACTTCTTCCGGAAAAGCTTGCGAATGGCAACTGGACACTCACTGTTAGGGAGGCTGCAGGGAGTTGTGTGACCTAGGCAATCCGTTAACAGAGTGCCTCAGTTTCCTCATCTGTTAAATGGGGCTTGGTAGTACAGTAGCTCCCTGGCAGGACACACGTGAGGAGCCAGTAATGAATACTTACAGAGCACCCAGGGCCTGGGAGGGTCAGTGCCCATTGACTGCAGACAGTGTCACAGGCGGGCCCACTGTGCTGGCATTCTATGGTCTCCTGCTCTGGGCGGAACAGGTCAGCAGGGGGCGCCGCTGTGGGGCCCAAGTGGGTCGCTCCACAGCCCACATTTGGACGCCTAGGACCTGCCAGTCTTGTCCTGGGCCCCTGGCGGGTCAAGCTCCAAGAGGGCAGCTTCCTCCTGTGTCCCTGGGGAGAGAGCGAGTGACGAGGTCTCACAGGCGGCTTCCTGTCCTGGTGGCATGACCATGGGCTGCTCTGAGCCTCAGCCCCCACGCGGGTCCCTCCCGCCCCTGGCCCCTCAGCTGCAGCCTTCGGCCACTTAGAGGAGCCCTCACCTCCCAGGCCAGCCCTGTCCACTGCCAGCCTCCCCGCCGGCTGGGAGGGAGGGGCCTTCTGCAAGATCGCACCCCGCTTGAAGGGCAGAGTCCCCGCTAGAGCCCGGGTCTCCGAGGCCTGAGCAAGAGTGTGAGTGTGAGCGTGAGTGTGAGCATGAGCGAGTGTGAGCAGACGTGAGCGCGTGCGAGAGCGTGCGTGGTCTTCTGAACCCTGTGTTGGGGGCCCCTGGGGTGGTCATTTGCTTTTGCTTTTCTCTGTCCATCTTTCTTTTTTTTCGGTTTTTAAAATTTTTTCTTTTAAGGTGGCACAGGCCATCTAGGTTCTGAATGTCCGTCTTTCTTTCCATCTCCGTGTCTCCTCACCATCTTGTCCTTCTGTCTGTCTTCCTTCTCTCCTGTCTGTCCCTCAGGTGTCCCCATCCCCACGCTTCTGGCTTCTTATCACATCCATGCTGAAAACCCAGTGGGATTTCCAGTGGCCTTCCCGCCGCCTGTCCTCTTCCTGGTCCTGCGTCACTGCCATCCTCGCTCCTTCTCACTGTCACTTCCAGGTCCACGGTGGCTCTGAAGCGTGCTCACCCAGAGAAAGGCCGTCTCTGCTGTCTGGGTCCACGGTGGCGGGAGAGTGGGCTCCTGGCCGCTGTCCCCGCGGCTGTGTCTCCCGCGGTCTCGGGCTTGCTGCTCTCACAGGTGCTGCTGGTGTCTCCGTCCTGGTGCTCCCCGGGTGCTCCCCGGGTGCTCCCCGGGTGCTCCGCGCTGCCTCTCCTCCTCAGCGCTTCCCAGGCCAGTGGCCTCTGGGTGGGGGAGGAGACGCTAGGGACGGGAGATGTCCCGTCTTGGGCAGTGCTGGGGGTCCCAGTGGTCCGGGGCCGACACAGGTGCCCTGGGTGCCACAGGGCCACGGCTCACACAGCTGTGTGCCCGCAGCACGCTGCCTCCCTTCCTGGCCCGTTTCCTCCTTGGCGATTGGGCTGTGACAAGTGCTGTCCAGCCCTCCGCCCAGGGCTGAGGGTTGGGGCGCAGAGCTCCTGGCTCCTGGGTCCTGCGGTCTGGGGGGAACACGAGCTCCAGAGCTAGGCCGCACAAGTGTAAATTCTTGCTTTTCCACTCACACTAGCTGTGTGACCTTGGGAAAATCATATAACCTCTCTGTGCCTCAGTTTTCTCATTTGTGAGTTGACTATAATAATCTCTACCTCACAGGGCTGCTGCAGGGATTGGGTGCAAGGCGCTCTGAATTACCACTGGGCACAGAATAAGCGCTATATGTTTGTAAATAAGTGCTTGCTATGTGGTCCGGCGGGGTGGCGGTGGGACCTGTGCCCATGTCTGTGAGGGTGACATGCACGTGTCTGTGGCCACGGGATTTCCGTGCCCTGTGATCAGACGTGGGTAGGCTGGAGGCCACAGAGGGTAATGCTCGAGAGCTTGGGGTCCGCCGGGCTGCGCTCAAACGCAGCCTTCGTGCTACCGGCCGTGTGACCTGGGAGGTCACCGCCATCTCTGAGCTTTGAGGTGGGGGCTGGAGGGGCCTCGCTCGTGGTCAGGCGCAGGGTGCGGTGCAAGGTGGCATGGAATGTGCCCAGCTGGCCCCTGGCACTTAATCATCTCGCCATTCAACAGCCACCTCCGTGTCCCAGGAGCCAGGCTGCGTGTGGGCGGTGGGCTTTCGGGTGAACCAGGGGCTCCGTCGGCCGGTGTGGGACCCCAGGGTTTGCGGGGTTCAGGATGCTGCACACAGACAGCGGCAGGCCCCGGGGACAGCAGCCTCATCTGGGGGCCCACGCACAGGCACAGTGGCTTCTTTTCAGTGATTTGAAAAGGTCAAATGGCTGGCCCGACAGATTTTCATTTTTTATATAAATTAATTTTTCTCTCTCCCGCCACGAACACAGCCTGTGGTCACGTATGACTGATTTTAAGAACATAATAAAGACACAAGAAGAAGTTGCTGGAAATTCTCCATGAAGATCTGGGGTCAGACAGTGACCTTGGGTGGGGTCAAAGGTGGGATCTTCTTAATGCCTCAACCCTGACCCGCCAGAGACAGCTCTGCCACTGAGTTGCTGCGTGACCTTGGGCATGTCCCTTCCCTCTCTGGGGTAAGATGGGGCAAGTCCCCAGTCCAGCCAGGCCCTCAGGGCCACAGAGATGTTGCGAAGGTACAGGGAGAGGAAGGAGTGAGCTTGGAAGACTTGGGGGAGTTCTTGGGGGGCACCCAGTAAGCAAACACCCTGCTCCTGAGCCAGCTTGTACCTGATAAACTCTCCAGTAGGGACGCTGGCAGAGTGGATGGAGCCCAGGCTTTGGGGACTTGCCCTCATGTAAGATTATTATTATTATTATTATTATTTTGAGACAGGGTCTCCTCTGTCACCTGGGCTGCAGTGTAGTGGTGTCTTCATAGCTCACTGCAACCTCAAACAAAGCCCTGAGCTCAAGTGATCCTCCTGCCTCAGCCTCCCAAGTAGCTGGGACTACAGGCGTGAGCCCATGCCTGGCCTCTCATCATGAGATCCTGAATAATCTAGATCTCTGGATCCAGAGATCCAGATCTCTGCTCTGGGCCTTAGTATTTCCATCTGGGCAGTGGGGACAGACACTGCGGCGCAGGTGGGGTCGGAGTGCTGTGGGGGAGCAGGTGTCACTAGAGGACTTTGGTGGGGAGAGAGCAGGGAGTGGGCTGGTTCTGGGCCTCAGTGGGCTCTGTGGTGGGGGGTTCTGGCTCCCAGGGGGTAGAGAGGGAATGGGGAGAGTTCTGTCCCTTCCAGCCTCAGCCCTTTCATGCTAATTACATCTCCATTAAAATGCAAATATCCAACTAACGCCCCAGAATGGAGGCCCTGTTGCCATGGCAACTGGAGGGGGCGGAAAGCCATTCTCCCATCTTCTGATCCTTCCGGACCAAGCTGGGGCCTGCCTGGAAGCCCATCTCCTCCCTGACTCAGAGCTCTGAGCATCTCACCCACAGCCTGGGGGGCTCCTGCCCTGAGGCTGGATCTTCAGGGAAAGGGAGCTGGG